CGGGACACAGCATCAGATAGAGGAGGAGCCGCCTGGCGGTCCCCAGGCTCAGGACTCGGGGAGGGACGCCAGGAGATAAAGGAAGATGGAAGAGGCCGCCTGGCGCAGCGGGAGGGACGCAGGCTGTCGGGTCCCTGTCCCCCACGGGGTCTGGGACTTAACTGCCCACTGAGGTCACCAGGACAGGAGGCAGAGAAGCCACGCTGACTCAGGTCGAGGGACAGCTGCTGGCCCCCCAGGTCCCCCCGGCAGACCCTCGGGCGTGGTGCTGTCCCCAGGAGCAGACGTACCTTCACGGCCCCGCTGTTGGCCTCGATGTAGATGACGTCCCCGGCCTCCACTCGCTCCTTCTGGAGACTTTCAAAAATGCTGGGGTCCAGCTAGAACCAAAGCCAACCACACAGAGGGGGACTCAGGGGACTGTGACACATGTTCCCGTTCCTTCTGACCCCGAGGGCAGGCACCTTGCCCTAAGAGATCTGAGGGGCCAGGCGCAGGGGCGCACATCTGTCATCCCAGGGAGTCGGGAGGCTGAGGCAGGAGGATTGCCAGGCGGAGGCCGGCCTCAGCCACTCAGCAAGGGGAGCAAAACGATACGAAGCAAAATAAAAAGGGCAGGCGCCTGGCTCTCGGCTTAAGCCTCCTCAGTTCAATTCACAGGACTAAACAGACAGACAGACAGACAGACACCCCGGGAGCGGGTGGGTGTGAGGGCAGGTGACGGGTACAACAGCCTGGACTGGGGGCTTTGCCCACCAGGAGGAGAACCTGAGGGTGGCCGTGTCTGCCTGCAGGGGACAAGAGACGGTCACCACTCCTCCTCTTGGCCCTGACTTCAGGGACAGCAAAGTGGGAGGAGCATTCTCACAGGGACCCGGCTGTCCTCAGAGGGGACCTGTCCGTGGCCATGCCCCACGATACCCCCCAGGATGGCCACCGCAGCGCCAGTCCTTGGGCTGGGGGCCCCAGAGCTTCCTGCCTAGCCACCGACCCGAGGCTGCCTCTGACGTGGCCCGTGATCCCGGTGACAGCGCCCAGAGGCACCCACAGAGGAGTCCAGCTCAGAAGGGGAGCATAAGCTGGAGTCCCCCCACAGTGTCTGGGTCGGAGGCTGAGGAAGGAGGATCACCAAGGTGGAGGCCAGTCTCGACCTGGCAGCTAGGCCTTGGGGCTGGGGGCAGCTCAGTGGCAGGGCGCTGGTTCACTACGGCCAGGGCCCTGGGTTCGAGCCCCAGGACCACAAAGAAGAGGTGAGGGAGATGGGCACTGGGCAGGGACAGCAGCCTCTGCCGGACAGGTCCCGAGGCTGAGCGTCTGGGGCAGCTGCTACAGAGGGCCACCCGGGGGACACACACCTGAGCTCTGTCCCAGACGGAGTCCAGAGTCAAAGGGGGACGGCGGGGGACGTGACGCAGAGTAAGGCTCCCTGCCAGGCCCCGTCAGCGGGAGGTGACCCTCAAAGGCCAAGCCAGAAACAAAGTCGGCATGTGGTGGCCAGAGGCCAGGGGGAGGTCAGCAGGTGGCCATTCATGGGAATGAGGTCCCTCCTGTGCTAGGATTAAGATGGGGGGTGCACACTGTGTCACGCATAAAGACCCCGTGGGCCACACACAGCACCAGGGCTGGGCGTCCCCAGGCCAAGATGCGTGAGCCTCCCTCAAACCAGGACACTCGGTAATGTCACAACGTCCCTGAGGTCCTCTGTCCCAACATGTCACACGTGTGGGAAAACATGTAGAGGGCACCAGGGATTGACCCCAGGGGTGCTTCACCCCTGAGCCCCGTCCCCAGCCCCTTTTTCTATTTTATTGAGAGACAGGGTCTCGCTGAGTGGCTCAGGGCCTCGCTCCGTGGCTGAGGCTGGCCTCCACTTTGCGATCCTCCTGCCTCAGCCTCCGGAGCTGCTGGGGTGACAGGCGTGGGCCTCTGTGCCCGGCTGGCCAATGGTCGTCATGTGGGGGACGAGTGGCAGAAGCAACTTCTTGACTTTACCCCACGACTCCCAGGAGCAGTGAGAAAAGGAAGAGCTGCCTTCATGAAGGGACCCACGTGCAAGCCCTGTACCCAGTGTCCCTGTGTGCCACACGGTGTTAACCCGAGTGCCCCACGTGGCATTCACAGTGCAGAGGACAAGGAAAGGGGGACACGGAGGCCACACCACCTGCTCAGGGGGACTCACCTTGAGCTGCTTGGTGCCCTTGGCCGTCTTGAGGCCTATGATCACGTGGCTGATGGTCTTGCCGTAGCCGCCCATCGGGTTCTCGGTCTCACACGGCGTCAGCTCGGTCACCTCCCCCTCGTACACCTCCTTGGTCTCCTTGATCCGCAGCCCTGGGAGGGGACAGCAGACGGGGCCACGGTGAGAAGCGGAGCGGGGCCATCCTTCTCTCCACATCCGTCCCCTCTCCACCAACAACTTTGCTTCCTCAAAACTGCCACAGCACAACAAGTGACAAGTCACCTTACGGGACCACCCGGAGACACCATCCTGGGCACAGAGCTACACCATGGGGAGCAGTGGCCCACGCCCGTCCTCCCAGCTCCGGAGGCCGAGGCAGGAGGACCGCAAGGTGGAGGCCAGCCTCCGCCACTGAGCGAGGCCCTGTCTCTAAATAAAATCTTAAAAGGGGCTGGGGACAGGGCTCAGGGGTCGAGGGCCCCTGGGTTCAATCCTTGGTACAAAAAAACAAATAAATAAATTTCTCCAACAACAGGAAGCTCTTGTCCAGCTTGGAAAATTCTGGGCTTTCAAGTCGACTTTGACTTTTTAACAGAACCTTTTCTTCTCCGCAGACAGAACGTTCCTCCAAATGGAACGCGCCCCCCCTCGCCGTGGGGGACAGTGACATGGAATTCCTCCGGGAGGGGAAGCGGCCCCCGTCTCTCAGCCGCTCCTGTTTGTCTAGAAGTTTCTCGGTGGTGACAAGTGGACAGGGGAAGGCCCGGCGGACAATGGGCCGGCTGTCGGCCAGCAGAGGGGCCGCGGGCGCTGTCTCTGGCCACGACAGCACAAATGACACGGGCTTCATCCGCGGCTCGGGTTTCCCAGTCCCTGACAGGGACCTTCATCACGTCAAGGAAGCGGCCCAGACGGGGACAGGTGACGCCCCCCCCAGCCTCGCAGGAATTCAAGGTGCGGGGACAGCAGGCTCCCGTCTGAGGGGCGTCCAGGGCCTGCCCTTTCACTCTGGGGCAGGTTCTAGAAGTTTCTCTTCGCCTGCTGCCATCCAAAGCCCCTGCTGGGTCCCCCACCGCACCCCACCCCAGAGGCCACTCCCAACCAAGGTGCCTGCTGACCCCCACTTTCTTCAGATTTTAAAGCGTTTTAATTGAATCACAAGCAACTGTGTGGAGACCCGATTTACCAGGTTTTTGTCTCACAGAAATGATTTCGATTTTAATTTTTTTTGTTTTAGTCGTAGATGCGCACGGCACCTCTGTTTTATTGATGTACTATTATGTGCTGCTGAGGGTCAGACCCAGGACCCACACATGCCAGGTGGGTGCACTGAGCCCCTGCCCCAGCCCCCCAAAATGTCTTTTTTTAAAATTTAAGTTTTTAAAAATATTAATATTCAGGTATTTGAAAGGTTGTGATACCTTATTGGTCACAATTTTGGTTCTTTTTGGTACCAGGGATTCAATTCAGGGCCCCTCCACCCCTGAGCCCCGTCCCCAGCCCCCTTTTTTTTTCTATTTTATTGAGAGACAGGGTCTCGCTGAGTGGCTCAGGGCCTCGCTCCGTGGCTGAGGCTGGCCTCCACCTGGCGATCCTCCTGCCTCAGCCTCCCCAGCTGCTGGGATGCCTGGGCCGCTCTTTCCTGTCTTGTCAACGGCACCAAAAGAACCCGGCAGCACAATCAGCTCGTCACAGAAGCATTTTCAAGACGAAAGGATTCAAAGCACCAGAGAAGCCACAGCCACGTCTCCCTCCGACGTGACACTCACCGATGGCCCTGCGGAAGTTCTCCATCAGCACCTCTGTCTTCTTGATCTCCGTGGAGTAGACTTCGCTCCCCACCATGGGGCAGAAAGGCACCTTACTCCCCAGCTCCTGAGCAATCGCCAGGGCCAGGGCTGTCTACAGAGGTGACAAAGGAAAGGATTTCATTTTACAGTCCCGAAAACATAATCCAAACCCATCTATAAAAAAATTTATTCAAGAGGCTGAACAGGGTGTCGCACGCCTGAGATCCCCGGGACTCAGGAGGCTGAGGCAGGAGGATCGCAAGTTGGAGGCCAGCCTCAGCCATTCAGCAAGGCCCTCAGCAACTCAGCGAGACCCTGTCTCTAAATAATATAGAAAACAGGGCTGGGGACGGGGGTCAGGGGTCGAGAGCGCCTGGGTTCAATTCTTGGGGTTCAATTCTTGGTAACCCCACCCCCAAAAAATGAAAACGACTTGGACAAGTGAATGTTCCTGTAAGTGCACACCGTACGGCATTCCAGCCTCAGAAAACGTCCCCCAGACACAGGACTTCTTCATCCACCATCACACTCCACACAACACGCCCCGGCAACTCCATATGCACAACTTCAAAATCAGAATCCCAGTCTTCAGTTCACAGCGGATTATATTTCGGCTTCTGAACGGTCAGGGGCCTGCCCCAGGCCTCCCAGCTGATAAGTCAATCCCCAAAGCCGCAGCCCAGACCTTTATATTGTTTATTTTTGAACAGGGTCACATTAAGTTGCTTAGAGCCTGGCGAAACTGCTGAGGCTGGCCTCCACCATGTGAGCCTCCTGTCTCAGCCTTCAGAGTCACTGAGATGACAGGCGTGGGCCACCGCCCCTGGTAAGAGCCACTTCTTTACATAGAAGATCAGGAGACTTCCTGTTTCTCTACCCAAAAAAGACTAGAAGTCACTTTTAAGATCAAAACCACGTTTCTAATACTTTCCAATCACACGCGTAGCCAAAATAGTGGTGGGCAAAGTTACCAGTAGGAAAAATGCAGGCTGACTCATTTTCCCCCCTCAAAGAAGATGCCACAGAAGATTTTTAAATAGTTTTTTAATTGTAGATGGACACAATATCTTTATTTTAATGTTTTATGTGGTGCTGAGGATCAAACCCAGGGCCTCACACATTCGAGGCAAGCGCTCCACCACTGAGTCACAGCCACAGCCCGTCACAGATTTTGACAAGGCCCTGGACCAACAGAAATGCATTTCCAGCTGGGTGCACGCCTGTCATCCCAGCCACTCAGGAGGCTGAGGCAGGAGGATCGCAAGTTCAAGGCCAGCCTCAGCCACTTAGCGAGGCCCTCAGCAACTTTAACGAGACCCTGCCTCTCAATAAAATACAAAAAAAAAAAAAGGGATGTGGCTTAGTGGCTGAGTGTCCCCAAGTTCAATCACTGGTACAAAAAGAAAAAGAAAGAAAAGAAAAACAGATGCATTTCCAAAGCAAAGACACTTGAAAGAGTTAAAGGACAATCCCAGCGACCAGACCCCTCTGAGGACTTTCCTCTCCCTCTGGCCAGGATGACTTTAATTCTAGAAGCCTCAGTTTGGGATCAGACTCCTTCTTTAAACACACGTATGAGCCACGTCGCTAAACAAAGACAAGGTCAGATGTGAATTCCATTTGGGCTTCGACATGAGGATCGTCCTCTTGGGCAGCGGAAATAAATGCGAGAACACGGGTACCTTGCCAGTTCCCGGGGGTCCCGCCAACAGCACGGCTCTTCCCGCCATCTTCTTGCTTTTGATTAACTCCACGATGACGCCACATGCCTGCAGCACAGAGGGAAAAAATGCTCACTATTGCTGTGTGTCAGTGGGGGAAAAAATGCAGTCTCTGATCCACACGATTTATAGACTCATCCAACCAACCCTGGATGCCAGCACCCTCCAGGCACTGGATGCCCCAACAGTGGAGGCAAGAGAGAAAAGTCTGCCGGGCACAGTGGCCCACACCTGTGATCCCAGCGGCTCGGGAGGCTGAGGCAGGAGGATCTCGAGTTCAAAACCAGCCTCAGCCGAAGTGAGACCCTGAGCAACTCAGGGAGACCCTGTCTCTAAATAAAATGCAAAATAGGGCTGGGGACAGGGCTCAGGGGTTCAGGGCCCCCCGAGTTCAATCCCTGGCACCCCCCCACCCCCAAAAAAGAGACCGAGACCCTTTCTGTTAATAGGAGGCTCCAAGGCTCCAGTCACAACCTCCTATAAATTGCAGGTTTCTGTAGCTGCTCAGCCTCCAGGGAGACCACGGGCCATGACTCTAGGGCCCAGCAGCTTAGAGGAGGTGGGGTGCAAACCCCCGGCCATCATTACTAAACTGGGTGGCCAAGGGATGGGCGGGGTGACGTCACCTCTCCCTTCTCAATTTTTTCTTCTGCAAAAAATAATAATAATGAAAATAAATAACGGGATTCCAGGGGCTTGGTACCACGGCCACTTAAAGGATGCTTGCTCGGGGCGCGGTGGCGCAGGCCTGTCACCCCGGGGCACCTGGAGGCTGAGGCAGGAGGACTGCAAGGTGGAGGCCAGCCTCAACAGCTCAGCCTGACCCTGTCTCGGAATAAACACCAAGGGGCGGCGATGTGGCGCCCCCGGGTGACACTGACGATCGCGGAGTCGGGGACGAGCCCCCGGGACGGTCCCCCCGCGCGGTCCCCGGTCCCCGCGCCCCAGGCCGCACCTCCCGCGCGTTCTCCTGGCCCACGAGCCCCGAGGCCGCCTGCTTGGCCAGGCCGCTCTCGTCGAGCCCCAGCCCCTTCACGTGGCTGTGCGACGCGATGCGCTGCGTCTTCGTGGTGCTCTTCACCTCCTCGATCTTCATGGTGCCGCCCGGGAGCCCAACCCGCCGCCGCTACCCCGCGCCCCCGGCGGCCCCGGGGTTACCATGCGGCCGTAACTAGGGCGGCTCGCAAGAGCCCGCCTCCGTCGGCGCCCCATTGGAGGATATCGGAGCGCCGCCGCTCTCCATTGGCTCAGACCTGCGCTCATCACCAGCTGCCGGTAGAGCTCCGCCCACACACTTCCGGCTGTGTCACTGCGTTGGCTTCCCCGGCAACAGGTGCTTCCGGCTCACTCTAGTGGGTGTGTGAGCGCAGAAGGATGGATCCCTGGTTTTGCTCCCTGGCTCAGGTGGTGGGTGGCCCCGAGTAGCATTTTGGGGGGTGTTTGTTTGGTAACTGGGGATTGAAACCAGGGGCCCTAAAGCACTGAGCCCCATCCCCAGCCCATTTTTGCGTTTTATTTAGAGACAGGGTCTCCCTGAGTTGCTTAGGGCCTTGCTAAGTGACTGAGGCTGGCCTCCAACTTGCGATCCTCCTGCCTCAGCCTCCAAAGCGCTGGTATTGGAGGTGTGCCCTAGAGATAAGCGAGCTTACATGAGGACTAAGACTCGCCTGAGATCCAGTCCATGCGGGTGTTTCTGATTCCCCTATGATTTCTTTGTCCTCTCTAGTCTGACTTTTAAATCTAATTATTTTACTCTGATTATTGACATAGTTATTGACTTGATGGTTGCCTCTTTCCCTCGACTTCTTTACATGAGGAAGGTGGAGAACACATATTTACCATTTTAATTTTAATTTTGGAACCTGGTACACAGTCTACAAACCAGCTTCTAGATAAGACTTCTTATGAATTCAAAGAAGGTTCTAGAAACCCCCCCCACACACACACACATTATTGAATCCATGCTCTTTATTTTTATACTATGGATTGAACCCAGGGGCGCTTACCCACTGAGCCCCATTCCCAGCCCTTTTTATATTTTATTTAGAGACAGGGTCTCACCAAGTTGCTTAGGGACCCATTAAGTTGCTGAGGCTGGCCTCCACCTTGTAATCCTCCTGCCTCAGCCTCCCAAGCCACAGGAATGACAGGCATATGCCACCATGCCTGGCGTCAGTTATGTTTTTATCCACTAATAGGTAATAAAAAGCCAGATCAATGTGATGAAACATACACAAGTAATCATATGGAGAAGTACATTCTGGAACTGTGCACTGGACAATCCCTGCTCTGCTGTGTCTCAGCTTCTCACTCCCATTATCTTTCACCTGAAGTCCTTCAACCTCTCCTCTCTCCAGCCCAAGACTCATGCCCTCAGTCACTTGGTTCCCAACTCTTTTGCTCCCTGCCGTCCTTGACCTCTGTCCCATCTGACCTTTGAACCCCCAAGCCCGGGGTCAAGCCAACCTTGCCTTCTGTACTGCTGCTCAGGAGGAGAAAGCCACCCAGACCCTGTCTCTTAATAAAACATAAAAAGGGCTTGGGATGGGGGCTCAGTGGGTAAGCGCCCCTGGGTTCAAATCCTGGTGCCAGAACAAAGAATGAAACTAAATGCATCTCAAACTCTTACCAAAAAAAATAAAAAAATAAATAAAAAGGAAGACATGTTTTCTACTATGTTCTATGAAGCCAGCGTTATCTTGATGACAGCATCAGGTAAAGATTCTACAAGGAATGAAAAAAAAAAAAAAAGAAAGAAAAGCAAAAACCGAGGTCAATATCCCCCGTGAACATAGATACAAAATTCCTCTCCCCAAAAATCTGATATTTGTAAACCAAATTCAGCAGCAGTTTTTGTCATTTATTGCCCTATTAGGAATGGAGCCCGGGGAGGCTGTACCATGGTGCTGTATCCCTCGCTCTCTTTGGTGTCTTTATTTTGAGTCACTGTCTCACTAAGTTGTGGAGGCCGGCCTCACATTTGCCCACCATCCTCCTGCCTCAGCCTCCAGAGCCAACCTGGAGGCCAGGTGACTGGATACCACTTCGCCCCGCTGGAGTGAGCTGCTGCCACTTTGTCAGACTTCCCCCACCTCGGATTCAGTGTGGCCTGAGCGGATCTGTTCAGTTCTGGGACCGACAGGGAGCTCAGGTGGAGGCCTGGGGGACGGTGTCCTCTGAGGCTGGTGGATGTAGGAACACACAGGGTTAATTTGCAATCGCTCGGCAAGGTAGGGCCCCTCGGAGAAAAGAGAAATTTCCATTTCCCTCCTGAAAGCATCTTTAAAGCTCGAATTCAAATCAAAGAGGAAAAGTCTAATAACTTGCTCTGGGCCAATTTATAATTAATCCTGGATTAATGGGCCTTGATGAAGTTGCATTCATTACGGGGCCGATTGTGAGAACTTTGAGCCACCTTTGTTTCAAAAAATGGCATTGAAAGACACAGACAGCAGCCGGCATCCCGTTACCATTAGGGACACATTCCAAATAATCACAGCTCTGCAGACAGCCATGTCCCCAGGGACTGTGCCCAGCCATGGGGACTGTAGGGGACCC